ATCCCTAAAGAACGTCTACCCGAACACCGTCAAAAATATCTCGACAATCGTAAAGAATATTTAAATGAACGCCAAGAAACCCACAAAAAAGAATTGGATGAACTTTATAAAAAAGTAGAAAAGTTGCAAGAGGAAAAAACCCAAGTAGCGGCTCAAATTAATGAAACTAATGATAGTCAAGAAAAAGCCAAATTACAGGCTCAATTAGCCTCTTTGGAAAATCAGATTAAAGATGTTAAAGGCCAAATTAGTAAAAAAGAGAAGCAAGTTGCTAATGATGAAAAAGCGATTGATGATTTGTTTAAAGAGATTAGTAATGATACCTCTCTAACTCCCGAGCAAGTGCAAAGTCGGGCTAATAATCCTGATTTAAAATCCTGATTAAATTGAGGAATTATTTTTATTGTGATGATAGTAGCGATAATGATAACTAAAATGATTGTTGGTTTATTAAAGAGTATAAATAAAGGAACGAAAGAATAAATATGGTAGTCAGTAAAAGTATTTTTGGTTGAGGATTGTTTTCTGTGGAAACGGTTGACGATACCAAAGAACTGGACATAAAGCGAAAAGGGGAAGAAAGCCGAATCAAACTCCGAGAATTAGAATTAAACAATGAGAAAGCGATTAATGAAAAAAACCAGGAAACTTTACTAGAAATTGAAAAAATACGTGCCAAGGCCAAAGAGGCTAATCAAGAAAGTAATCCCGAAGTAAAAAAAGAAAAGAAGGAAGAAATTAAAAAAGATTGGCAAGAAGTTAAGCGAATGATTGAAGAAAATAATAAAATGATAGTTGACAGTATTGGTGAAAAGACTAGTAAATTAGAAGAGCAGCAAGTGCAAATTGCGGCTGATTTAAAAGATGCTCGCCAAAAGGGTGATAAAAGGGCCGAGCAAATTGCCTTAAAGGCGATGGCCGAAGTGAATAAGAAATTAGGGTTAGTGAAGGGAGTAGCGACTAATTTAATAACTGGTAAAGATATCGATGAATTAGCCCAAACTACTGACCAGCCTTGGTATCAGAAAATTGTTTGGTCCTCGCCTAAAAATTGAATATTGTTGGTTTTTTTCTTAGGTCTGCTTTATTTAGTTTATCGAATTATTATGTGAGGTTGAGGAAAGGTGAAGAGTATGATTTGAGGTGATGATTAACTTGACTAATATAGAACCGTATGACTTATGAAATAACCCCCCAAGATTTTTGTGCTATTGTCCGCAATCCCCGTTGCCAAGGCAAAGAAGTTGAGAATGGCCTAGCCAAAGAAGGCCATGAAAAATGTAACTGATGCAAGGGCAATTATTTTGTAGGAGGAGAATGTAATTATGGTGGGCAACATAAAATGAGTGATGATTTACGACAGATTAATAAAAACTTCCGAGCGTTTGATGTTTTAGTTAAAAAACAAGCCAAAATCTCCCGAGCCAAGAATGAAAAAGATTTTAATGAGGCCAAAAATAAATTGCTAACTTCTTTTCAAGAATTGAAAAAGAAATGTGAAGATGAGGCCGGAGCTGGGTTCTTCTATGGTAGTTGTATTGGATTAGATGGTAACAAAGGTGATTTCTCAGAAAGAATTAAATCGACTTTTCGGAGATTAGCCAAAGAACTGGGTTATTATATTGGTAAAGTTCAAGCATCTACTTGAGCCCAATTAAAATTTTTTCAAGAAAAGTTAGAAACTTTAGATAAAATGCAGAGTGAGGCTAATCAATTAGCCAAGGAATGAAAAGAGGAAAAAGATCCGGTTAAGAAAGCCCGTTTATTTGCGGCTCTTAGTCAGAAAAATCAAGCCATTAAATCTTTACAAGTCGAATTAAGAAAAGATCCGGTTTATGATTTATTTAGTGCAGAGAAGTCGGAGGAGTTAAGTAATATAGTCCGTAATATTTTCCAAAGCAAGCCCAATACTTCCTTTTTTACTTGGAAGAGAAAAGAAGAGGAGGAAGCAGAGAAAGTGTCAGAAAGTAAGAAATATTTAGGCTTTATTTCCCAAGAAGCGGGTAAGAACGCCCTATTAATTACGGGAGGATTACTAGGATTACTTTTAGTTTGGTGAGCTATTAAGAAAAGGCTTGACCACTAATGGGAGTTTTATAATTTTCTCCCACAACAAAAAAATTAGGGATTAGTTGTCAAATGTAGAGAAGGAGTTGTCGAAGGTTTTCGCACCGCTGAAAAATCAAAAGTTATTTGCTCGTAAAGAGCAATTGGTTTAATTTCTTTACCTACTTTTTTTAATTTGATGATTTCTAAACCTTGTAAGGCTTGGATATCTTTTCAGACATTAGCGTAATC